GAATTTCGATTTAAAACGTTGGGAACATATTCTTACAATGTTAAATAAACATTTTATGCAAAAAAAAAAAATTCGATTTTTTGAAAGTTCTAATTGGATTTCCCCCCTTAACGTAGCGAATTTGCTACACATGAACAACTAAACATTATTTATTGCTTTAGCTACTTTTTTTGTTGCAGGAGCAGATTTTTTTGTTATCATAGCAAGGAAATTGGCTCCTGCAACAAAGAAAAAGTGGCTAATACAGCGAATTATGTTAGTTGTCTATATTTAGCAGATTTTTTTTTTCCGTGTACCTATATTGTTGTTTAATTTCACTGGCACGAAAATAGGAGCGTTGTCTATGGGCATTTGGCCTCACTCTTTTGCTCCTACATCGATTTTATAAACTTCCTATCTGAAGGACCTATATAGACTACGGAATATCTGGATAGAGCACAGGGTACTTCTGCGGACGCGAGATGTGAAGCTTCAGAGATGAGAAGAAATATCTCTCACGGCAATCTTGAAACGTCTGTGAAACTAGGGCATAACATTTTACAAATTCAAAAAGAAACAATGATAGTTCTATTAGCACTTTTTATAGTTCCACAGTTCTAGATAAAAAAACAAAAAGAATTCTGCATTTTTAATATAAAAATATAGCACACCAAGTTTTTGTACTTTAGTTGGTCTTGATCAAAAGCCAGTTCTATGGGATTTAAAATTTATATAAACTTTTAATCAATAGGACAAAACAAAAATGATTAATTTTTATGTCAATTAAATTGATATATATTTTTCATAATAGTAAAATTTAACGTTCATTTTATGAAACTTAAAATTTATTTGTGCCATTATCACGCTACCGCGTCGCTTGATCTGCGAGGAAATCTTTTCCTTAAAGTGACACCGTGAATCCCATTTTTTTTTGCTTGGGCAAATTTGCTTGTTGATAAAAATCGTGCTTGAGTGTCGAGTCGATTCGGAAGCTAGCAGGCCATTGGCATCGGCTTTAGTTGGCGGCTGCGCTCATTCTTCTACTCATTCTTCTTAAAACTCTCCTCAATCTCCTTGGGTGACTTGCCGCTCGTCTCCGGCACGCTGATGATCACGAAGATGAAACCTACCACAACGAAGACGCCGAACAGCCAAAAAATGCCGGGCTTGCCGATCACCGCTACGACGTTTTTAAAAGTCTTCGCCACTATGAAGTTGCACATCCAATTGAAACTGGTCACGATACTGGCGGTCGAGCTACGGGTTTTGGCCGGCAAGATCTCGCCCATTATCAGCCAGGGAATCGGACCAAAGCCTATCAAATAGCCTATCATGTACACAATTAGGTTGATCCCCAGCAGGAATTTCAAACTCCCGTCGACATCTTTCGGTATGGCGTAAAGGAGCCCTCCGAAAGAGAAGAGCGACAAAGCCATCAACACGCTGCTTATATACAGCAGTTTCTTTCTGCCTTTGTCGATATAGCGCGTGAAGATGAAGTGAGATATGGAGTACACGAAGCGGAACATACTTAGGCTCGTTGAGGTGATCTGAAAACGAGAAATTGTTCGTTAATTGTTGCCGCGCATGTCGATTTTTCCAAATTGAATTTATATAAAAGTAACTTCTGTCGTTTTTATTCGAACATACGTTCAATAATCGATTATCTTTAAAAGTTAGCGTTAGTTCAATCATTTGGTACGTACATCGATAAATTCCCACATGTAGAATTGAACCACGTAGGTGCCCGACATTTGTTGGAACCACATCAGCCCCAGGGAAACAAGCAGTGGCTTCAGATTGTTTCTCTTCAGCAACTTCGAGATTGTATTATGAGAGACGTTTCGTTCGTTCTCGATGAATAACTTCTCGATCATAGTCAGTTCGTCGGTTATATCGGTGTCTGTGCCGCGCAGCGTTTGCAGAATTTTTTGACTTTGCGCTGTCTTTCCCTTAGAGATGTACCATCCCGGCGTCTCAGGGGTCAGAGACAATATAAAAATCAGGAATATAAGCAGACTCGCGCTTAGCAGCAACATTTTTTCCCGGGCCAGAAAAATGTCCAATATCACGCATATTATTGTTCCTACATCACACGTGAAATATACATACTTATGAGTTTGGTATATCGCAATCTGAATATTTACAAATTGTAATTTTTTTTTAATAATATATATTTCAGTTTCTGAAATATAAATAGCATAATTCGAAGCGGAATAATGAATCAAGGAGGAATGTTGACATGTTCCTCGATTACATGAAGAACAGTCGCGAATACTCGCGTTTTTTTAAATTTGTCAAAATGGATACTTGGAGCTTTCGTTTCACTTACCGTAGTTACCAAATGTATTGGGCAATGTGCCAAGACGACCGCGCAATTTTGTCTGCATTGTCTCGCATAAATACACAGATAGCGATAAGGAAATAATGCCCATGCTAAATCCGCATAATGCGGGTCCTACTAACAACACCGTGGCGTCCTGAGTCAACACGATTAAAATAAATGCTGCAATAAACGAATCATTGTGTCATCATGTGTCTCAAGTATACTATTTGTACGTACGTTAACGTATTGGATGACTTCAGAACCATGTAATATTAACTTATAATTGATATACTGAGAGAAAATTATAGTTGCTTTTGATGTCAACTATAATCATCTTTTGTGATTTTAACCACAAAAACAATTGGAAGAATTGTTTTTTAATGTGTTTTAGTAATTATTATTATTTTAGTAAGTGTTATTAGAAAGATGATTTTTCTAATTATTTTTGTTAAAATTACAAAAAAATATAGTTGACGCCGAAGCAACATAATATAATTTTCTCTTAGTATAAACACGTCATTGTATGTTTCGTAACTTACATCCGATATATGGGAGCGTTGTGGCTAGTATCGTGTATCTTCTTCCGAGATACTCGATGCATGGCCCTCCAGCAATTCCTCCGAAAAATGCACTTAGAGGTATAATAATCATGTATTCCCTGATCCACGTATCCTATAACATTATAATTTAGAATACGATATTAATTTAGAGAATACGATCAGGAGTGAAGATGAAGTTTTCTTTAAAAAGAATTTGATAGATTATTGTCATTTCTCGCGATATTTTGATAATCTACGTTAAATATCAATGCTAATAGAAAATCATGAATAAACTTTTCTTTGATAAGAGTTTGATCATCATGATAATCAGCAGGTTCTCAAACAAACGTGCGTGAAGTGTCTATCTCATAATCTTTATATTTTGCACTTAACAAGATCGGATTCTCGTACTTTTGTTTCACGGTCAGACACAATCGAGATTGCGATATATTATCCAAGCACGTTTGTGAAAACTTTTGCCGGATAATACGTCTATGTAATTTTTGTATTTTTAGCAAGTTTGCAATGTTATTAATAACTTGTAACTGAGGTATTCTGTTAATTTCTGTTGAGGGAAAATTTAGCCAAAGTTCGAGCAAGACAAATGGCGATAAGATGCACGACTGTCGAAAATTAACAGGTAACTCATAAACGATAGTGTCATTGCAATTTTCGCTAATGGATTTCGATTTTTATGAGTCAACGTGCGCGAAATGAATGACAAAAATGTCAATAATCATACTTACCATTTGCATGGTAATTTCAAAATTCGCTATATTTGTACTATTAGCATCCTCTTTAGTATTATTCGTGTTTATAATGCATAGTAACAGTATGTGCGTATTTAAATAGTTAGTTATCATTGAGGCTAATAATATCAATAATGCGACCAGTATCTGAAAGTAAATAATAGATATAATAAAAGGAAATTACAGATAATACGTTAAAATGTATGCGAAAACGAGCGAATTTTTATCTCTCAAGTAAGATTTTTCCGGTTCACACAAATTATACTTTGCATTTGTGCTCTTCTCTTCGAATAGTGTGCACGATCTATGGAAAATTATATCGCAATTTTTATCGCAATGTATATTCACTTAATACATAAATTATTGAATATAATTTTTTCTCGTAATCGTACACGGGGAAAATATTATAGCCTTTTCTCACTTGTTTCAACACTTGTTCAACACTTGTTTTTTTAATATCAGACGCAAGCGCGACTGTTCGCGTTTAACAACAATAGATGATTCGGGTGAGCGGATGTTCATCATTTCGTGACGTTGAATATTCACATTTCACCGAGGTGAATTTAGTCGTCCAACACTAGCTCGTCATTGCGACGCGTGATTTTACATTTTCTCGAAGTAAAACGAAGTTGATTTAATCTTTTTTTTTCATTTTTCAGTTACATGGTACGATAGGACAAGCTATAACATGCTCACACATGCGATACAATCGAAAAATTCTGGCGACGTTTATGGCATCATCGGCCATGAACGTCGACGGCAGGTAAAATGTAGAGAAAAATGTAGTCTGTGGCGTCTGTGGGATCGCGATATTCGTTATAGGGTTGCGTCTGTTCTGTATCTGTCTTGCATTCGTGCAATTATTTCTGTCCTTATCTTCTCGATCGCAGATAACACGCACGCAGATGGCGCGCAATGATTAAAACAGGCGCATTGATAGAGTAGAATTGCTCGTTTAATATGAGAATATTGTTTCCTTGACTCATGAGTGATTCGAAATTTATTTGAATATTTTATTTTAACATTGTTGATTTAATTACTATTCTTACTGCAGCAGAAAAATCGTCTCTTTCGACGTGAAATAAATTTTCCTGTCGAAAATATTTCACATATAATTGACATTTCACATATAATAAAGTTCGGGATGAGAATTATTGCATATTTTATAGAGATATATCGTGTATTATTGCGATATTGCAATATGAGTGCCGTGAATCGCTGAATGAAGAGACGTGATGAATTAACGTAGCGGACCATACGCTGTAGTCATTCTACTATAAGATCCACGCATTCTGTAGTAGTCTGACCACATACGGAATTATTTCACTCGCAAATATATTTAATACAAAGTGGAAGATGATTTTCAAACAATTGCCATAGTAATTTCTGTAATATATAATATTCATAAAAAAATATATATGTATATATATTTTAATGTATACAACAACTTACTTGAGTGCCCCTTTTGGGTTTTAGTGCTCTATCGCTATTCTGTACCTCCTTAAATGATTGGCGGGTAGATACATGCTGCGAATCTCCCTCCTCCTGGAGTTCCAGGGTATCGTTAATCGGGTCCTGCTTGGTAGACATTAAAGGATCGAGTTGTTTGTAATCGTTTTAACCTTTATCCAATGGATCATAGATCTGTGATCCGTTCAGGGTTCTTTGACAATAACTTACTTGAATGCCCCTTTTGGGCGATTTTGGTGCGCTATCGCTATTCTGTACCTCCGTAAATGATTGGCGGGTAGATACATGCGAATCTCCCATCTCCAGGATATCGCTAATGGGATTCTGCTTGGTAGACATTAGGATCGAGGATCGAGTTGTTTGTAATTGTTTTAACCTTTATCCAATGGATCATAGATCTGTGGTCCGTTCAGGGTTCTTTGAGTATTATTCCTCAGATTTTCGGTATAGTAGATTTTCGGTATGGTTTGATCCTTTGCTGGTGTCGCCGCAAAGTACTTCTTTTCGGCGATGAGGGCTGTTTAGCTGTTGAAAGGACTAACGTTAGTCACTAGAGTAGTGTTCAACGAACAGTCCACTGCGACTCTGAGCTGAGGGCAAAGGTCTAATGACTGGAGATATCCTCGTGTAGTATTTAGGCAAAACGCTGCGCTCCTGAAATACAAAATTAAGATTCGTTTAACGACGCGTTAAATAAATCCCATCTTCGGAATCGATAAAAACAACGATAGTTTTTGAATGTCCACCCCGTATAGGGATGGTCGACGCTCAGCAACGCTACCAACGCTACGGCAGTCAACTTTTTGCCAAAGTTCTGTCAACCAGTACTGGATTAGTACTGATAAATGATTGATTACCCATGTATATGGGATAGCCCGGCGTTACAACGAAGACTAACGCTTGGCCGACGTATGGTCGCCTACTACGGTAATCAGTAATGAGCTAACACTGGTAAGTGACTGGCTATCTATATTTACAAGATAACGATAAGTTATAAGATAAGAGATAAGATAAGTTCGACGTTACAACGAAGGCCAACGTTGTTTTTTTTTAATTTGTAAAACGTCTTGCCAGTTTCACACAGACGCCATCTTGGTTGATCAAAAATTAACATATGACATTAGTATGTAACATACAACATAGTAGGCTCACAATTAGATAGAGATTGATCATGTTATGCGCAGTCGCACGATGTGATTTTAAGGTTTCTTATATTCTGTAAAGAAAAATAATATCTGCAGCGTAAAGTGTTCCATTTTCTTCTACAATACGCCTGATTGTTACGCGAAAGGCTTCAAAAGTAGAAAAGCCCCAATACGAGAAAATAAGATGCAGTTAGAATGGAGACAATCCCATGCCGCCGCCATCTTGGTTGATTATATCCGTTACAATTCCATTTTCCCTTAAGCTTTAACCTCGCGGAAATATGCTCCGTTCAGATATTCCGTCCATGGAGTAGGCTATATTGTCTTTTCTTGGTGTAGTAAATGATCACTTAGTGCCATTTTGTCCACGTTGGATTGTCCTTAAAGGAGGACTTACTGCAAAATTATTTAATATTCGATTATTTTGGCATATGTGTTTTCCATGCATTTAATCTCCATTTTTAATTTCAATAAGCAAAACATATTAATTATAAAACTTATTTAATTGCAGATAAAACATCCGTGATGAGCCAATATTAAATAATCTAACAAAAATTAATGGCCATATTATGATTAATGGATAAGCAAAACACAATGCATTTTGTATCTGTATAATTTCTTTATAACTTTTTTTTCATTGGTATTGAAAGTGTGCATGAAGGAAGTATTGCAGTAAAAATGACAACAAAATTTTCTAATCTTAATTCATACAGAATTATAACTAAAGTTTCTATGTGTTTGCTTAAAAATGTAATACATATTTGATTTTTACTACAGAATTATTGTAATTACTTGAATATTTTTTATATGTTAATAATAAAGTAGTTCATCAAATTTACTCTTCTTATATGGTAATATATATTACCATTTTTACACCAGTCCAGCTCTATAAAAAATATTATAAAAAGAAACATAATTTTAGCGTAATTTTTGCTGCAATATTATATGTATACATATAATATATATATATATATATATATATATATATATATATATATATATATATCCGGAAATGTGTGTGCATGATGCATTGCTAATGGCATCTTGGGTCCTGTATCCTCCATCTTGACTGCCCGATCCAACATCCTGCTTCTGATTGCCCCGTTATAACATTCCGGATACTAGATACTGACATTGACACTCGCGTAGATACGATTCAACCGGAGGAACGTATGTTAATTAGCGCGATGCTGACGGAGTCCGATTGTATATCTCAAAAAGCCGACGTGAAATAATTTGCATAAATGTAATGTAACATATTCGATCGCGAGATCAAGTACACGACAGGTGACAATCCCGAAACGATCGGCAACTATAGAATTGTCATCTCCTCCCATCAATCATCAACAATTGCCGCCCGTAACCGAGCGAGCAATCCAGAAGTTGCTGACTTTCAAGGTGGTTAATCATACCTTCATGCACCGTATGCTTTTCTATCGCGCCTCAAGTTGACGAGCAGTGTATCGCATACACATATGGAGCATGTGTTGTGTATCATTTCCGTCGGTTGATTACAATATTTCGCCGGCTATTGAACCATTTAATCGAGCTTTCGTTATCACGTTAATTAACTTGCGTTTCTCCGGTCGAATCGTATCTGCGCGAGTGTCAGTGTCACTGTCAGTGCCAGTGCCACGACAGGGCGGCCAGAATGCAGGGTCGAGCAGGACGTGAGACGCGGGATACATCATATATTGCCAAGAGTATGTCGCATTTATTATGAGAGAGTTTCCGTTTTTAGTGGACGAACTCACCGAGGATAAATACTCGAGTCGAGATGAGGCCGGCATTCGTAATCCATCTTTCATTTGACGAGTAATTTTAAATAGCTCCGTTGATCTTCGATTATTTTTCAATTTACTCGTTACATCTAATACTTATATTACTTATTTCATACAAGAAATATTGATATATTCATACTGTCAAATAACTATGAATATGAATCTGAACATTTTGTTTTCAATCAAGGGTCCTAAATAATTCACAACCATGAGTAGACTAACTTTAGAATCTAATGTGTCAGATTGATATATATATATATATATAATTTGTCATTTTTCTATTAAATCCTCGTAAGAAGTTTAAATATTAAAAGGAAAATAAGATGTCCTTATTAAATTTCTGAAAAAATACAGAGTTGATTTGGTTCATCTTATTCGTGAAAATTATTAGTTCTTCGAAATTATATAACTTCGTTTTCTATTTTATAAACACGAAGAATCTTTTGCAACCTAATCAATTATGCGTGCACTGGGGAAAATAATAGTTGTTCCAACTTCATAAAAAAATTAACTTTATAAAAAATAGTCGAGGCCAGAAATAACTGTATATTTTTTATATTATAGTTATTTTTGACCTCAGCTATATTTTTTGGTTCTAACAAAAAAGCGATAGTAATAACAACAGTATAAGATTATTATCACTAACTTATTATAATCACTTATGACATAATTTAATAAAAAAATATTTTTTACAATAATTTATAATTATTTCCTCATGATTATAGTCACAAGTATCAAACATTATTTTCTCAGTGTGCTGATTGTTATGTCTAATAATGTTCTATGGGGACCGCAAACGCGATCTTGTTTACATTCGACGAGGTTTTCTTTTCATTTCCGTTCAGTCTTGTTATTATATGGAATCCAAATTGAAATTTCTATTGATAAATCGTATTATTGGATACATAACTGTTATTTTTGCTTCTGCAGCTTCTTCCTTATGAGCTCTTTTAAGAGCTCAAGTTCCATTGGGGTTTTTAACGCTAAGAGAAAAAACAGAGAGAGAGAGAGAGAGAGAGAGAGAGAGAGAGAAAGAGAGAGAGAGATTATGAGAATAAAAGTTTACTGTTTTTTCTTATCCACACACCTTTGCGCATTAATCTTTATTAAATTATTTAATAGTCATCTCTCATACTATATCTGCAGCTAAGTTATATAATTAATGCATTATGCCGACTGAAATAAAAAAAGTCAAGATTAAATTTTGGCGAAATGTTGAAGTAATCGAGCATTAAGTAATTCCGAAACTGATATTTCTGCAAGACTCGACGTGGAGAAAACGGCGGAAAACGATCGTTTAAATCATCAAGGTAGAGCGATAGTTTGTGTAATATTATTTTTTCGCGCAAGATTTTTCGTTGGTTCTTCAAGTTTCACGAGAATTCACAGAATCAACGTAGAATCAAAACTGACTTGGACTGACGTCGAATTTGGCGAGATTTCGCGGGATTTTGCGGACGCGCTTCTTTTTCCCCTTCTGTCTGCAAACAGCCTTCGGTTTTGTCTCGGAGTGTTACACGTTTGGAAAATTGTATGACGTCCGCCAGAACCTCGACGTGTACAGGAAGCGCGCGCGCGCGAGAAAAAAGCGCAGAGAAACAAAGTTCCAGCGGCTCTCGAGGCCGTGACCTGATTTGACCCTTGCTCGACCCCTTCGCACCCCTTGCATCACCGTTACGGAGAAGCGTGCTTGGTTATCTATAGATTCTTTTAAAAGAGAAAAAACACACACAAGTGCGCGAAAGCGGGTATATACGCGAGGATGCAAGATTAACGTACGCTCCTTTCTCTTTCGTGGAGTCGACCTCCCTCTCTTCCTCTTTTCTCCCCTTTCTCTCTCTCTCTCTCTCTCTCTCTCTCTCTTTCTCGTCGCGAATAGCGTGTTATCGATGCTTCGTTAAGCGGATTTAATCGGCCGCTGTGTCCGGGGTTGAGCGAGCGTCTTGATAAAGCGCTAACAGCACGTGACATTTTCCTTTTTTTTCAATTTTTTTTCGCGGTAAATCGCGGAACTGCGCTCGGTCTAATTGCCCCGTCCGTCGTGCCGAGCGCGAAATTAACGCGCTCTGCGGCTCGATATTTTAGACTTTTTCCGCACGTTCTTGCGCGCTCGCTCCGCTTTTAATTTCGGCATGCCGCCGAGCGACGCACGACTCGAGCGAGAGAGTCGCCTGCTTTCTCGCGCGCGGCATACAGTAATACTTGGAAATAAATATTCCTCGTGTAATCTACAGCTTGGATACAGGCCAGTTTTGTCAGACGACGGAACGAGAGCCACCGACGGCCTATAAAGAAGAGGGGACGAAATCTTTCCGCATAAATCACGCGCGCACGCGTAAGACCGCGATCTCGCCTGCTCTTTTAAACTGTCCACCATATTTCTTGCGAAAGATGTTGGGTGGCCTCAAGATATCTTACGAAAGTGTTGTTTTCAAAATCTCTCTCTCTCTCTCTCTCTATCTCTCTCTCTCTCTCTCTTGTGTGCGCGAGATTTAACGACAAAGGAAATATAAAGCGAATTTTTTCGTTTCCCTCTATCCGACGTTACTTTGTTCGCGATGAATTCCGATTCTCGTTACCTCTTGTATTTTCGAAATTCAGAAAGATATCCCATCGCCGACGATAACCGAACGCGATAAAACGCCATCGGGAGTTCTCACATATAAATAATTAGTTATTAACGATACTGACTGCTCGCGCGAAAATGTCAAACGTCGGGCATGTCGAC